ACAGATGTAACCTTGCTTTGAGAACAAAGATTATTAATGTAACCCTTTTAGAAGTGAAGTTATAGTCATTTATTCTGGGAATGTCATTTTCGAGCCTGAAACCTGGAAAACAGGCCCAGGGCTTAACAGGTTAATGCACCTTTGTTTAAAACCACATATTTTGAGTCAGGTGTTGCGTACCATGTGTGGAGGGGTTTCCCCTCAAACCAAAACCAGAGGACGGGGCTTTTCTCGCATAAACAGGAACTTCAGATGCAGAATAAATACGTACATGTGGGTCAACACTTTTATAAAAGCTGAATCATCAGAGGGAGGTGTGAACAGGGACTTTGGGAACATTAGTTGGTATTCTTCCTTTGAGTCAGAGCGTCAAATATGACTAAATATTGAGTCCATTATGTCAGAAGTAAAGGGAGTGAGTCTGCAAACATGATTCTTTAAATAAAAGACAAATATCACTAGATTATAACAAACATTTAAACCCACTCTGAAGTATTGCTTTTAATTTAAAACAATTAAAAGTATTTAATTCACTTTTATATAATTACATTTTTTTCTAATAGTTTTTCCGTTATTTAAAAAAAAAATTATATATTATATTCATTACCATTTTTGATTTCATTTATATTTTTATACCATATTAATTACATTTTATTTTATGTACGTTTACTGCCGTTTTATTTGTATTATTCTGATTTTATTCCTTTTTAAATATTAACTAATAATCATAGTTTAAAGGTATAGATGCAACACACCTGTTCATGTCGCTGCAGCAGCAACAGGTGTGTTCTGCTAATCATGGGGGACAGGTGTGTGTGTGTGTGTGTGTGTGTGTGTGTGTGTGTGTGTATGTGGCCTAGCATTACTATACTTGTGGGGACCTACATCTGTTTACACAGTCACGTGTGGGGACTCGCCTCCCTTATGGGGACATAATGGAGGTCCCTATGAGGGGAATCATTCATTTTAGGTTGAAGACTTGGTTAGGGTTATGATAAGTCTCCAGGAAATGCATGTAAGTCAATGTAATGTCCCCTGAAGTGATGTATACATGGTATGTGTGTGTGTACGTGTGTGTGTGTGTCTGTGTGTGTGTGTGTGTGTGTGTGTGTGTGTGTGTGTATGTGTGTGTGTGTGGTGTGTGTGTGTGTGTGTGTGTGTGTGTGTGTGTGTGTGTGTGTGTGTGTGTGTGTGTGTGTGTGTGTGTGTGTGTGTGTGTGTGTGTGTGAGTGTGTTTCCAGTGTTTAAAGATCTTTGACATTTGTGAAAGTACTGATACAATAATTATAACAACAAAAAACACCCTGTTGTAAAAGTCCTTAATTGAAAAGCTTAATCTAGTAGAATTGCTACCACTGGCCCTTTAGTAGTTGCATTTATTATATATCATATATTAGATTATTATCTTGTGCTTTTTAATGTTGGGTGGTTTAATTTACTGCAAGGATATGCATACATGTAATGAAGTAAAAAGTACAACAGGTCCTTCCAACGAGTAGAAAGTAGCATAAAATGAACATACCTTAACCTTAAAGGTAAATATAAGTACCTTAAAATCTTTCTCAACTACAATACCTGGTTAAATGTACTTAGTTACATTCCAACAGTGTGTGTGTGTGTGTGTGTGTGTGTGTGTGTGTGTGTGTGTGTGTGTGTGGTGTGTGTGTGTGTGTGTGTGTGTGTGTGTGTGTGTGTGTGTGTGTGTGTGTGTGTGTGTGTGTGTGTGTGTGTGTGTGTGTGTGTGTGGGGGATACCCATGTAATATAATGTACCTGGCAGGTTTCGGATCGTCTCCTTCCTGCTGAGCTCGACAGAAAATTCAGTTTCACTTTTTGTTGTAAAACAAAGTGAAACCTATAATTTTTAGCTTCAAATATAATTTATGAGTTTTCTTTTTGACATTTTCACAATAATTGTTTTGAATATTTCTTTGACATAGTCCTTTTTTAATTAATTTGCATTTTGTTAAATGTTTTCAAGTTGTTCCGACTATTGTTCCTACATTTTAAATGCATTTGTTTGGCATTTTTCCGACTTCATCCACAAATTTGTTTACGACATATTTTCAGACATTTTCAAAAATAATTCTCCCCCAAATATAAACATTTTTGTTGCAATTTTGACATTTTTAACAGGACGTTTTGAAATTATAATTTAAATATATGCTGTAGTCTAGTTCAATCTGCAGACATGCATCATATTCTAAGATGTGTTTGCATCTCTAAAAAGTCAACGATGCATTTTGATCCAAGAGGATTGTTAGAAACTTTATTTATCTTAAAAAACGACTGCTCTTTTCTCACCTGTTCAGATAATTGAATGTTTTTCCCCCTCAACTTTTATACTTCACAGATATGTTCTGCTGCCCTGACAGTTCATTTCATTTATTTCCAGACAGCCGAGCAGCTGACAAGAAAAGCCTCATTATATATTCAGTGTTTCCTTTAAACCCTTTAAGCAGAAACACCTCTCCCCAGCAGCGTCTCTGCAGCGTTACGTTATTTCCTGTCTGGCCCTGAGATGCCGTATTATCTGCTATAATAGAATCCTGGCAGTATTTCTGAAACAAAACTCCTACAGACGAGCTTCCTTTGCATCAATATGACTCAACATACCAAATATCTATGGCATAGTTAAAATAAATGGGTCAAAGGTCACTGTGGCCTCATAAAACCAGATTGTGGCCACAAAATCACATGAAAATGATGATCATTTTGCACAAAACAGGATTAAATGATGTAGTCACTGCAAACATCGCTGCTACAACCCGCTGCTGCAGATACACTCTTTACAACATCAGGAGGATACGTCCCCTCCTGACCCAGAAAGCCACGCAGCTTCTGGTCCAGGCTCTCGTCATCTCACGCCTAGACTACTGCATCTCCCTCCTGGCTGGTCTGCCTGCATGTGCCATCAGTCCTCTGCAGCTCATCCAGAATGCAGCGGCTCGTCTGGTCTTCAACCTTCCTAAATGTTCCCACACCACACCGCTCCTCCGCTCCCTTCACTGGCTTCCAGTAACTGCTAGAATCCACTTCAAGACACTGGTACTAGCGTACCATGCTGTGAATGGATCTGGCCCTTCCTACATCCAGGACATGGTTAAACCATACACCCCAGCACGTGCACTCCGCTCTGCATCAGCCAGACGGCTCGCTGCACCCTCACTGCGAGGGGGACCCCAAGTTCCCATCAGCAGAAACACGTGGGTTTGCTATCCTGGCTCCAAAATGGTGGAATGAGCTCCCCATTGACATCAGGACAGCAGAAAGCTTACACATCTTCCAGAGCAGACTGAAGACTCATCTCTTTCAACTCCGCTTCGAGCGATACAATTACTAACAAAGCACTTATATACTAACAAAGGACTGGCTTATCTGAAACCTGATGTACTTATATGATTCTGTTTTCTTCTAGTTTGTATCTTCCTGGTCGAATGCACATGTAAGTCGCTTTGGATAAAAGCGTCAGCTAAATGTAATGTAATGATATTGCATTGGATAATATGCTTTGATGGTGCATTCAAGGACACTACAATTCCCCATCATATTTAAGGTTTAATTTGATTTTGATTAAAAGCTTTGCAACAGATAACGCATGGATCTTCGATGTACGAGTGTCCCTGAACGCACCAACAAGACACTGACTATGTTAAAGAAAAAATGACAGAATTCACAATCATTTTTTAAAACTTGTTAGATAATCTTTCCAATATTTCCTGAATATCTTGGGAAATGTTTTGCTACAATTTTAACGCATTTTCTGGGGGTTTTTCCAGACTCATTTCACATATTTTTCCACAACATTTCTTCAGACATTTTCCAAATTATTTGTTGGATTTTCTGACAATTTTCTGAAATTTTTCAAGCTTTGTTTCGGGTATTTTTTCAGACTTTACAAGAGACAAACATCTCAGTTATCCGAGTGTCCCTGAATGCAGCAACAAGACAATAATTATGTTAAGTTGAAGAGAAGATGACTTTAAAAATGTGTTTACAAGACTAACAAACGTCTCTAAAGTCTCAGATGTCTGATTGTCTTTGAACGCACCGAGGACGGTTTGTAAGAGTCAATGAAAATAGAAAAAGTGAAAAATTAACAATTCGTCTTTTTCACAGCGTGTTCGATTATAGTTTTTGATTGTTATGATGAGGGCTAGTTAACAACCAAGTCTCTAAATTATCCCATGCTGTTGTACCTTGAATGCACCAAAAGGTGGCAGAAAATTAAAAACAAATAACCAACTTTTTAAGAATTTGTTTGTATTTAGTTTTACCTGAGTTCATCAAAAATGCAATATCTCTGACATTTGATTATAATTTGTTTTTGGGATAATATTTGACGATTTGCAACTCTTGAATCTCCTTTGTTTTTTAAAAGGATTAACGGCAATTTAGCCAGCGGTGTTTCAGTGATGGGAGGCTGTGGCTCAGTGGGTAGTGTGCTGGACGTGAGCAAGTTCGAGCCCCACTGCAGTCAGCATGTCGTTGTGTCCCTGAGACACTTCACCCCAAACAGTACTGAATGTATGTAAGTCGCTTTGGATAGAAGCGTCTAACAAGTGGCATGTAATGTAATGATGGTTTTTACTTCCAATTATTTCCCCCTCTGCGCGCTACAACCCACCATCTGACGTTTATTAAAGTTCGTAAAGGTGCGATAAATGGGTCATCGTTTCGTAACGGTTTCCATTGCGTTTTCTACTGGATGATCCAACGACTTTTCCAACGCGTGCTTTCCAGTAACTTCTTCCAGAACTCAATGCTCTCCATGGAGTTGCATGCCATTACCTTTGAAAGTAAATCAATATATTTCATAATAAAAGACACATTTGTTGGGGGGTTTATTTTGAAGTAGTGATGATTTTAAGTTTGCATGAGTGGGAGACCCCTCACCCGCCCTTCTATGAAGTTTGGTAATTTAAAGGAAACAGCACGACCACATTTTCACACCTCGATCATCTCTGCATCACTCTCTCGCTCTAACCCCATAAATATACTGCTTTCATGAAGAGAGACTCACTTACAGCCGGCTTCGTTGCGAGAGAAACATCAAGAGGAGGCAGAAGTCTTTAACGAATCAAACCTCTTAGTTTCTGAACGAGTCGTAGACATGATGGTGGTATCGGCCAAGTCGGTGGTTTGTTTGTGTTTCTTGTTTTCTGTTTGCCACGTTCGAGGAGCCTACATCCCCCCGAAGATGAACAGAACCATCTTGAACCTCCTGAAGCACTACGTGAGTATTTTAAGAACTTCTATTCATAGAATGTGTATTTTTGTTTTTGAGTTAGCGGCCGTAGTTAGCGGTAGCAGGAAAAAAGATGGCCGCCGCTTTGACTATTGGAAAAGGAGCGTCCATTCTTTTTAAACTCTATGTCTATTACTTTTAATAGTTTAAGAACATATTTAATTTCTATAAGGGACCTTTTTATTGAAATACGCAGCTCATAGCTTTGAAGTAAGAGAACATGTACATAGAATGAATAAGAAAAGGTACAGAAGACCAAGACTAATGGAAACTAAAATGAAAAGTTAAACACTTTCGAATGAGACAGAAAACATTTGTATTTTTGGGGATTATTTGGGTTTCTATATAAACACTAGAGTTAGCTCTGAAGTTGCTTGTACTTGCAATACAACGAGTGTACTGTCAGTATTTGTACAGCATAACTTAAAATACTGTGAAGACCTTTACTAGTTCCTGCAGCTGCTTTCAGTCCCCACCACACACACACCACACACACACACACACACACACACACACACACACACCACACACACACACAACACACACACACACACACACACACACACACACACACACACACACACACGTTTTCCATGTATGCATGTTTAAAGAACTGTTCTGTGTTGGTTTTCCATTAACAACCCATATGATTCATCACAATTGTCATTATTTTAAGACACATTGTTCATTGTTCTACTCGTGTGTGGAAAGTGGTGAAAGCAGGGATTTAAGTCTTAGATTGTGCATTCAAGGACACATAGATGCTGAAATCTACCTTTTTTAATGCAAGACTCATTCATTTTTCTGCAAATGCAAGTAAAAAATTTGCAAATAAATTTACAATCTTTATCACACACAGTTTTATCTGATACCGACTGTCCTTGAATGCACCATTATTGACAATAACTTGTATTCATTGGGTTAAAACATGAACAAAAAACACTGATATGTTTCCTAATGTTTGAAAGAAACAGATTTGAAATCTAATTTGACTTGAATTGTTTACATTTCTTGCAGAACATATCAAAGGAGGAAAAGTATAACGGGCAGCTCGTCTTCTCCAAAGAAGCGATACCTGAGAAACTGCTGGTAAATAAAAGTCAGCTTTATTATTACAACCATTCTGTTATAAGAAATACAAATGTGGAGGGACATGTGGCGCAGTGGACTAGTGCGTTGGTGTTGGGATCAGGGGGGCACAGGTTCAAACCCACTGCAGTCAGCATGTCGTTGTGTCCCTGAGACACTTCACCCCAAATTGCTCCTGTGGGGATTGCCCACATTATTGAGTATGTAAGTTGCTTTGGATAAAAGCGTCTAACATGTAATGTCAAATGTATAGGGTGTACTGTTGCTTTAAGTAGAGCTGATAGCTTAGCATAGCTTAGCATGTAGCTTGAACACAGGTGGGAAGAGTTATCATGGCTCGGTCCAAAGTGGAGGAAAGTAATAGTTAAACCGTTATTTGAAACTACTGTATTTCCAATTTATTGACCAACAAAACCACCGTCCAGTTTGTTTGTTGTTTATTTGTAAGGATCCCCAGCACTCAAATAGCTTCAAACCGCAAAAACATGACCAATATGTATACTTAAAACAGTGAAAAATATCCACGGTTTGTTTTTAAATGCCTTGTGTCGTCACTGCCAAACCCAAAGATATTTAGTTTAATATGAAAAGAAGCACATTTTTCTAATAATGAATGAATCCATTTGTTGATTTTATTCCCCTAAAGTTCGTTAGAAAGGATTGACGTTTTTCGAGCTGCTCTCCACGTCTGCCATCTTTACCTTACTTTCTTATTCTTGATTTAGTGAGTCAGCAGCCGGCTGGTGTTTTCCAGGTTTCAGTCTCACACTGCGAACACTTTTTTTCAGTTTGTGTTGAGGTTCCTGTGGTTTCAGTTGATCTGCTGGCTCTGCACCGTGCACCTTTTGTGTTGTTTGCAAAATATTCTCAGGGTGCAAAATGTAACTTTCACTCTTCACCAACGAGGATAAAAAGCCACTTGATGGATGATGAGATAACATATAGACACATGGAGGCAGAGGGAACAATCAAGCTGCATTATGAATGGGTAGGAATAGGAAATAAAGGGAAATTCATGAAGTATTTAGCATTGTTTAAAATCAAATTATATATATGATTAAGTAAAAAAAACAATGACTGAAGGGTGCATAGGGACTTTTTGGGGGGTATAACCATCTTAAAGTTTGCCATCGTGTTGTCTGCTTTCAAACATTAAGAAAGTGTTGAGAAAGGTTGATTTTGAAGGTGTTCAATCTTTTAAAAATAAGAAACATACAGGTTCTAGCTTAATAGACATCTTTCAGCCTGTTGTTAATCCTGTATCAGTCATGTTTTGTTGAATGGCACATCTGCTTGTTTCAGTATTGAGAAACCTTTTGAAACAAGTATTGAAGATCTCCACCAAGGCTGTTTCCAATCGTGTATCCGCCCCGTAATCCAGATCTCCTCCAAAATTGAAAGCGTTCTGCCTTTGCCCATGCTTCACCTTTCTACCAAATTTCAATATAATCGGGTGGGTAGTTTTTCAGTAATCCTCCTGACAAACAAACCAAAAACATGTCCACTTGGCGGCGGTAGTGAGTGTACTCAGATATTCTTGTGTCAGATTTGTACCATATTTAGGTATTCATGGTGGTACAAAGGGAACTTGTTTGTCATATAGAAAGGGAATATTTAAATCCACCCCCACCCCCTACACCCCTCTGGGTTTTCCATTTTTAGTTTTTCCTTCACCGGCGTTAGGGGTTATCACTTTTAGCATTTAAAAACAGTTTTAAGCGACGAATACCTTATTAAATTGGACATTTCCAAAGTCTTACGCTCATGAATTATTGTTTTTACACCAACCAGGGTAATAGTCCAGAATCAACATGACTTAAGCCCTAAAAACTAGACATGTTAGACATTTTCTGAGGCTTAAAAGTGTGTCTTGATTGGTTTACAAAATGTGAATTGACTTTGTTGACCTGTGTTCATCTAAATAATCTGTTTAGCCATGATGCGGTATCACATTCATGTCTGACAGTCATTTCCCCTTCGAGGCCTACTCTTTGCTTAATTTAACTTCTGTGTGGGAAACCACAGGGGATGGGGGGGGTTTCCACTCTGTAAAAAGATGATCAGCCTCTCAAGGCATGTTTGTAAAAAAAGAGGTGCAGTTAATCTTTCTTTATACAAAGTAATACACCACCTTTTTTACATGGTTGAGGAAAATGACGCCATAATTCATATTTTGCGCCATCGTTTCTTAAGATAAGTTCCTACTTTTTAAACTGCTTGAAACTTTGTGCAAAAGGCTGAATTGTGCTTTCAGTTATATGCTGTTATAGTGCTTTATCTTGTTATGCACAATGTTGATTATTCTCTCAGAACTAGCTAAACACATGGGTCTGGGGTAGAGATCTTCACAATTGGTTTGGCAACTCGTGACACAGCAAATATCCAAATAAACCATCAGTGTTTGCCATCAAAGTTCGAGCAGAGTCCTGTCTCCATTGCTTCAGAAGTTTCCATCACACTACATATTAATAATAATAATAATAATAATACATGACACTTATATAGTGCTTTTCTAAAAAGTAAAAGACGCTTAATTGTATTGTCTGTTTCTCTTTCTAGGAAAAGAGGGTGTTCATGAGAGGCGTTTTGGAGACGTACGAGACGCTTATCAGCAAGATGTTGAAGGAGTTGCCGACCCCTCTTCCCGACACCAAAGGAGGTGTTGGTGAGGGTGGAGCAGGAGAAGACGTCCGCACGGAGCTGAACTACATCCTGCAGAAGGTCCTTGAGCTGAAGAAGAACCAATACAAGGAGCACGATAATCTTCTGAGTAGCCTCAAGAAGCTCATAAGCATCAAGGTAACAAAGAAACCAAAATGTGTATCTGCATGGACAATCTGATTGTTGATCTGAATCAAAATGTGCTGAATTAGGGCTCAAATGAGGATTAGGGAGGGTTAGGGTTAGGCCAATGCAGGACTTCAGAGGGTTAGGGTTAGGGTTAGGTCAATGCAGGACTTCAGAGGGTTAGGGTTAGGGTTAGGTCAACGCAGGACTTCAGAGGCGGACTTTATAGAGGGTTATTTGGAGGGCCAATATCTGACTTTAAATAAGACTTAAAGAAGGTTTATCTAGAGCAAACAAACAGACTTAAGTGAGTCTTATGTAAACTGTATAAAGGACCTTAAGTAAGGTTTTTTGGAAGGTCTATGTAGAGTGACAAGGCTCTGAAGTAAGGTTTGTGTAGAGCGTACAAAGGGCCTAAAGTAAGACTTTAGCAAGGTTTCATTAGAGCAAACAAAGGACTTAAAGTAAGGTTTATGTAGTCTTTGAATCCCTTAAAGTAAGACTTAGGGAAGGTTTTTGTAGAGCGTAGAAGGGACTTTAAGGAAGGTTTATGCAAGGTTTACAGAGAGCGTACAAACAACTCTAATTAAAGCTCATGGAAGTTTTATGTGGACCTTAAAGAAAGGTTTAAAAAGGGGCTACACACGTCTAAAATATGTTTTCTTTTGTAAGGTTTAAGTCAGACTTTTAGGGGGTTTATGTAGCTTAGGGAGGGCTAACAGAGGGCTAACGGAGGGGCTAACTGAGTGTAACGGAAGGCTAACGGAGGGCTAACGGAGAACTAACAGAGGGCTAACGGTGGGCGAACGGAGGGCTAACGGAGGGCTAACTGAGGGCTAACGGAAGGCTAACGGAACGCTAACGGAGGGTATATGGAGGCCTAACAGTGGACTAATGGAGGGCTAACAGAGGGCTGACAGAGGGTATATGGAGGGCTAATGGAGGGCTAACGGAGGGCTAACAGAGGGCTAACAGAGGGCTAACAGAGGGCTAACAGAGGGCTAATGGAGGGCTAACGGAGGGCTAACAGAGGGCTAACGGAGGGCTAACGGAGGGCTTACAGATGGTTTACGGAGGACCATAAGGTTTAATAGAACTTTTAATGTGAAACCCTAACCCTAACCCTAACCCTAACCCTAACCCTAACCCTGTATGCTGTTGTGGGAATTTACTTTGACTAAACTAATGCTAAATGTCTCTTCCTCCTCCAGATGGATAACGCTACCGTTCAGAGTAAAGCGTTGGGCGAACTGCCGTGGCTTTACGAGGAGGCGAGTGACCTGAACAATGAGATCCAGAGTAGGCGGAGAAGACGGCAAGCACGGAAGGTCAAAACTCATCAGAGAGGCTGAAATACACAATATCAACATGGGCAGCAACGAAAATATTTAATTTAAAATGGACAAATAATATAACGATTGTTTAAATATCAAATATAATCAAACATTTTCTCTATTTTCTCTGTTTAAGGTTATTTAAAAAGATATTTATGAATAAAGACATATTTTTCACATTGATTCACAGCTTAAACCTATAAGATATTGTAATTTAGTAAATATATATATATTTTTCAAAAAGTGACATACTTGAAAGAAGTGGGCGATTTTATCTTTGATTACTAATTTAATAATTACTCGCAATATCATTCAATTATGACCTGGAAGTACTTGATTTCTTGACTTTAACTTATTTAGAAACTGCAGATGTGATGTTTAGAGGGATATATTTAATTATTATATGTTTTATTTTGAGTGGCTCAGGTATTTAAAAATTATATGGTACAAAGTACACCATCGTTTACTGACATGTACTTCAATGAGGAGTAATTTGTGATTTTCTACGTTTATGTTATGTATTTAAAGTGTTAATTTAATGACCATGCTGATGTGACTTATTATTTATTCATTTAAGTTATTGATAAGCACATCCAGTCAAATGTAACTGAATAAAACTGAATGAACATTGTCTGTTTATTGTTTATTTTTTATTATGACGTGGTTAGATTACAGTCCATGATTACACCGAGGTTTTTGGATTTCAAAGACAAATAATATTGGTTGAGGACTCTTTAAAGTAGAGACACTACATACTGATATACACCTGAACATCAGCAGGAGAGGACTCTTTAAAGTAGAGACACTACATACTGATATACACCTGAACATCAGCAGGAGAGGACTCTTTAAAGTAGAGACACTACATACTGATATACACCCGAACATCAACAGGAGAGGACTCTTTAAAGTAGAGACACTACATACTGATATACACACCCGAACATCAGCAGGAGAGGGACTCTTTAAAGTAGAGACACTACATACTGATATACACCCGAACATCAGCAGGAGAGGACTCTTTAAAGTAGAGACACTACATACTGATATACACCCCGAACATCAGCAGGAGAGGACTCTTTAAAGTAGAGACACTACATCCTGATATACACCCCGAACATCAGCAGGAGAGGACTCTTTAAAGTAGAGACACTACATACTGATATACACCTGAACATCAGCAGGAGAGGACTCTTTAAAGTAGAGACACTACATACTGATATACACCTGAACATCAGCAGGAGAGGACTCTTTAAAGTAGAGACACTACATACTGATATACACCTGAACATCAGCAGGAGAGGACTCTTTAAAGTAGAGACACTACATACTGATATACACCTGAACATCAGCAGGAGAGGACTCTTTAAAGTAGAGACACTACATACTGATATACACCTGAACATCAGCAGGAGAGAACTCTTTAAAGTAGAGACACTACATACTGATATACACCTGAACATCAGCAGGAGAGGACTCTTTAAAGTAGAGACACTACATACTGATATACACCTGAACATCAGCAGGAGAGGACTCTTTAAAGTAGAGACACTACATACTGATATACACCTGAACATCAGCAGGAGAGGACTCTTTAAAGTAGAGACACTACATACTGATATACACCTGAACATCAGCAGGAGAGGACTCTTTAAAGTAGAGACACTACATACTGATATACACCTGAACATCAGCAGGAGAGGACTCTTTAAAGTAGAGACACTACATACTGATATACACCTGAACATCAGCAGGAGAGGACTCTTTAAAGTAGAGACACTACATACTGATATACACCTGAACATCAGCAGGAGAGGACTCTTTAAAGTAGAGACACTACATACTGATATACACCTGAACATCAGCAGGAGAGGACTCTTTAAAGTAGAGACACTACATACTGATATACACCTGAACATCAGCAGGAGAGGACTCTTTAAAGTAAAGACACTACATACTGATATACACCTGAACATCAGCAGGAGAGGACTTTTTAAAGTAGATACACTACATACTGATATACACCTGAACATCAGCAGGAGA